GGCCGGGGCGCGGAGCCGGGGCGACAGCGAAGGCATGGCCCCCACACGCGGGGTGTGCACAATCACTGGCCGCAGAACCCCAACACAAAAAGATGTGCCTTAGGGCCCCCCGCAGCCCCGCCCCTCCCCCGCCCCCGGGGCAGCAGGCGCGCCCCCGTGGAACTCGGTCCCCCGTGGAACTAATAACTTATTCCGCTCGCTGGCTTTGCACGGCCTGCCCTGGCCCGCCATGCCCAGGGCAGGCGCAGGTGGGCAGGGGAGGGGCCGCGACCCCGGATCCCCCCAGTCAGCAGCAGCCCCCCCCCACGCTTCCCCTTCCCGGTCTAAGTGCAATTAAAGCTGAGGGTGTGGCATCTTGGCTGTGGCTGGCCCCGCCGGCAGCGGAGGGGCAGGGCCTCCAGCTTCCAAAGAAAGCAGCAGCCGGGCTGGGGGTGCAGCCGGCGCCCGCCCCTCCGTGCCATGCCGTGAACCCCTGATTTTTTTGTTTTTTAGTGGACTCGTGCCCGCGTGTGAGCGGAGTCGGTAACTTGGTTTCCCTCCCCCCTACCATCATGGCCTTATCTGTTCCGGTTTTCTCAGTGTTTCAACCTGTGAGATAGATAAATGTTTATGGCAAAAGGAAAAAAGAAAAAAAACGAACAGAAAAAAAAATCACAAAAAGGAAAAAAAAGACTAACTATTGTATAAAATCACTATTTTGTGTGCTGGCGTGCTGCAGCTTCGGGGCGGCCCGCGCCGTGTCGCGTGTGCTAGTCTAGTGTGCAGGGCGGTTTTCTACCTTTTGTAGTCTTTCTTAAACAATAAACTGCGCTGTCTACGTGGTGTGCGCTGTCTACGCGGCGTGCACTGTCTCTGGGGTGTACGCTGTTTGCGCAGCGTGCGCCCACTACGTGTCTGTACGTGGCGTGCACTGTCTGGGGTGTACGCTGTTTGCGCGGCGTGCGCCCGCTACGTGTCTGTACGTGGCGTGCGCTGTCTATGGGGAGGGTACATGCCGTCTGCGCAGCGTGCGCTGTCTAGGGGGTGGGTACACGCTGTCTGCGCAGCGTGCGCTGTCTAGGGGGTGGGTACACGCTGTCTGCGCAGCGTGCGCTGTCTATGGGGTAGGTACACGCTGTCTGCGCAGCGTGCGCCCACTGCGTGTCTGTCTACACGGCAGGCACCGTCTACACGGTGTGCAGCTCCTGCAGGGCCTCGGCAAGGCGCACTCGGAAATAAAGCATTTATTACAGGAATGGGACGGGGGAGCGCGGGGAGGGAAGGAAGGAGGGGGGGAGAGGGGGGCGGATGGGGGCGCCGGGGCTCTCCCGGGCCGTGCCCACCCTGGCGCTGAGGAGGGCGCATGCGCAGGGCGGTGGCGCCCAGCGCGGGGGGCGGTGGGAAGGCGGGCGCGCCCCTCGCACCCCGCAACTTAAATAGGCATAAATAAAAATGCGACGCGGAACACCAGGCTTGGCCCGCGGGGCCCCTTCCCGCAGCTTCCCCGGCGGCGGCGGGGCTCGGCTCGGAGGTAGTTGGAGTCGGGCCCGGGGACCCTCACAGCACGATCCACGTGTACCGCTCGCTGTCCGCCAGCACCTTCAGCGAGCACCCTGCGGGAACCGGAGTGATGGCCCTCAGCCCCCGCGGGAGCGCGGGAGCCCGGGAGCCCCG